CATCCTTACAGTTTATGCAAACTGAAACTTTATGCACAGTTTCATATTTGGGGTAAAGTTTGGCATTGGAGGCTGTTTTGGGGGCAACGGGACCCTGCCAAATTCTAATATTCACCGTTTATACCCGTAATTTGGAAATTCTTGCAACTCTCACAAAAAATGGAAATTCTTGCAACTCTCACAAAAAATGGAAATCTTTCATGATTTTTTTGAGATTGTTTTTTGTTCAAGTTTTTTCGTGTTTGCATTTTTAGCACACATCGAGGGGGAGATTTTTGAAGTTTATTCCTCGAGCGCTTCTCATCCTTTGTGGGTTTCATAACCACTTGTTGATTATAAAAGGGGGAGAATGTAGAAATGTATTCGAAGCTTCTCGGGTATTCATCTGCAGATTTGAAGACCGGTATTACTTCGTGAGGGAGTTGGTCTTGATTGCGCGAGCTCCTTTCGAAACTGAAGCCGAGACATCCAATCCTAAATTTGTGGCGGAGAATGTTATGGTGCAAATTCTCATTGGATGCAAAGTGTAGGCTTACCCTCTTGTATGTGTAAATGGGTTGAATCTTTCCTATAATTAGGACGTAAGTAACTCCCATTATGTAAGAGACCCATTTGTGAGTGTTAGTTTAGTGAGAGAAAAAAACACTTTTACTCTTACTATTCTAATAGAGCTTAAATGTGGTTATTTACTTATTATGTTCTTCATTCTTGCATGATTCACTTGATCTTATCAATTCCGAACATGTCATCATAATTAGGATCACTACATCCAGTCAGGATGAAGAGTCATTTATGCATGTTGTCGTTTGTTATGTTTATGTGGTGGTACTTTGGGGGAACGTACTAAGCTTTAGCTTATGGCTTACTTTTTTGTTTCAGATACTTCTGATGACCGCTGGAAGACGAAGGCGTGATAGTACATCTTCCTGTTCTATAGCCTTATGATTTTGGGATACTCTAATATTGATAAACACTTTGGAAAAAATAATTTTGTAAATACTTTATGATTATGTTTTGTTTTGAAAAGTTTAAAATTATTGTGATTTTTGAGTCGTTACAATACAAAACCCTAAATTCGCATACACTCTGAAGGATCTATGTTATCACTATGATTTACAAACAACAATCTAAATTCAAGAAAACCTACATTAGATTGTTATTTTCAAAATCGGAGAAAGGTTATTAGAAAACATACAATCTAGTTTATTATTGTAAATAAAATTGAATTCCTTCTTTGTAGAACTTCAAAAAGCCAACACCATAAATCTTATGCCTCTAATGGCTCACAACCAAACACTAGAAGTTGGAGGCTATTGAAGAAAGAGGGGAGAAGAGGGAATTTTCAAAATTCATTTGAAGGATATGATCACTGAAATTATGAGGCTTAAGGACCCTTTATATAGGTGGCTAGAGGTGCTTGGATAAGGCAAGTTTCCATGGATAGCTTATCCCTTTTCTTCTCTCCCCCCCCCCCCCCCCCCCGAAGTTTCCTTAGACCCAATGAAAAGCTCTAGAAACTGTAGAACCAATCTAGAATCATCCACCCTTCTTGGGAGGTTCTAGAATTGGTTAATGGTCAATCTTTTAAACATTGTGACATTTAATACCAATTTTAATTTATTTCAATTAATCCTAAAATTAAGTCTAATTAATTTCTGATCAATTTATAAATAAACAATATAACTTCAAATTAATATATTTTTCTCAAAACATATTAATAAATTATTTATTTTGATTTATAATTAGTTTATTAATCATATAATAAATTAATAAATCAGTCTCTCTCTCTCTCTCTCTCTCTCTCTCTATCTCTCTCTCCAAATAACATTCTAGTCTCTTACTAGGTTTGAAGGCAACCCAAAAAGATTTCAGTAATAATCTAAATTTATAACAGTGAGTTAATGACTTAGATACCTAATCAAACAATTATATCTAATATATATATATATATATATATATATATATATATATATATATATATATATATATATATGGTTGAAAATATTAAGTGGAATGCTCTTTGCTTGCCTCTAGTATTCACCATAAGGAGCAACTGTTATTTCCTTGAGATTGTAAGAGATAGCCCTAAACATTCTTGTGTTAGGCCTACTTACAAATGCTATATCATGAGTTTTCTTGATCTCGCGAGTTGCTTCTGTTGATAAGACCACCAAACTTGGGACTGAGCCGATGTGAACGAGCATGAGCGAGTCATCGTAACGTCTAGCCAAAGGTAAAAAGGAGTGGTGGACACGAGCACCTAGCAAGTGGAGGTCGCTAATAACCGGCTGTTTTGGTGGTGATGGTGGCTGTTTCTTGGTGGTGGATGATGATTTTGAATCAGTCTCTCTCTCTCTCTCTCTCTCTCTCTCTCTCTCTCTCTCTCTCTCTCTCTCTCTCTCTCTCTAAATAACATTCTAATCTCTTACTAGGATTGAGAGCAACCCAAAAAAACTTCAGTAATCATTTAAATGTATAATAGTTTAGTTAATTGCTTAGACACCTAATCCAACAATTATATCTAATATATATATATATATATATATATATATATATATATAATATATATATATATATATATATATATATATATATATATATGGAAAAGTGAACATGCGGCTGTCATGTATATAATATTAGGTATAGAACCATCAAAATTGACTTCATTTTAAGTAAAAAAACACAATTTCTTTCATTGTTAGCTTCTTCCTATTTCTTTTGAGCTCATATTATTTCTGATTTCATAATTTATCCCCAATATCTATGTATTTCAAATGTGTTGTTTATATTATACTTTTAATAAGCTTTATAACTTTCTTTGACACCTACCATATGTATGTTTGCATTATTCTTTTTGATGTTTTATGGGAAGAATTTATTGGGTTTTTAATGAACAGTTTCAATCTTTCATTATAGTTTTTGATATTAAATTTAAATACAAAGACTTATCGGTAGTTGATAATGTATTCTTATAAATGGTTTGTGGTGCAAAAATAAATATTTAAAACTTCATAAAACATGTACAAAGCCTGCCATCTAGTATAATATGGGATACAAAAAAGATGTTATAGAGATTTGATTGCATTTCGTTAAAACTATGTAGTTTTTTATAGTTTTATACCTAATATTAGGTATACAACAACCACATATTCCCTAAACCCATATATATATATATATATATATATATATATATATATATATATATATATATATATATATATATATTATATATATATATATATATATAGGAATGAATTCTATAGAAAACAAACAACTAGGACAACATCTACCGGAACCAATAATCAAATAATACGTGTCCACTTGTTTCTTCACGAGTAATATATATATATAATATATATATATATATATATATATATATATATATATATATATATATATATATATATATATATATATATATATATATATATATATATATAAAAGGTTATCCACGAAATGATTTATAAAAAAATTTATATTAACACATACATTAAAAATAATCGAAGTTAGGCAAATAAATTTTTTTTTTATTTAATATTGATCAAAAACATTTATGAGCCATTTATTATATAAATGTCTTAAAATAAAGTTTTAAATTAATTAACTATAACAATAGTAAAAATAATAACCATCAAATAAATAACTTTTAAATTAATTATTTATGATAATAATTAAAAACAACTTTAAATCAAAAATTGTATTTCATTTTATTAATACGTAAACTGCATATAAAAATCATTACAACATTTAATTGTAATATATGTTTACATTATCATATTATTCAAAAAAATTATGATTTTATATATCAATTATAACATAAAAATTATTATTTCATATAATATAAATAGCTACTTAATTTTACCATAGACAAAAATTTGTCTAAGTTCTACGAGAATCGGACCATGTTGTCATGTTGTCATTTATTGTTTAGAAGATGATCCATAATACATAAATTGTTATAAATAATACAAATTAGTTTTGTTTGTTTTCCTCTAGTGGGCCTAGTGGCTGTAACGTTACCGCTGGTCATTGTTGGCGTTCAATTTTTAAAAGCCTTTTATTACAATTAGACAACGGCAGTAGTCACTTTAACACAAGCATCCATCCGCTGGTCACAGGCCTTTCTAATGGTGGGAGATAGGGAGGATGGATAGTCGTTATCTTTTAATTGCATACTTGTTATATTTAAAAGTTAATATAACTATTTTTATTATTATTATTGATTGGTTATAAGAAATTTAATGACATTTGTGTATTTTAAATATCTTTTTTTTTCTCTCGTCGTCCTGAATAGAAAGGGAAAATTACTTAAAAACCCAACGAAGTTTCCAAACCATTCAAAAAACCCCAATTATGTTTTGTCTATTCAAAAAAATCCAAAGAACTTAACGTTTTGTCTAAAAAGTCCAACAAAGTTCCAAACCTTTTAAAAAATCTCAATTTTGTTTTGTTTAAGTTCGTTGGGTTTTTTTTGAACAGTTAAAACATGATTGGAGTTTTTTAAACGTTTTGGAAACTTCATTGGCCTAACAAGTCATTTTTCCAATACGGTAATAAGCCACGTTATCTGTTTCTGTTATTTGACTTTCAGGAAAGTGTAACTTAGTTGGGCTTTTTAGACAAAATGTAAAGTTTATTGGATTTTTTTGAACAGACAAAATATTATTGGAGTTTTTTGAACGGTTTGGAAACTTCGTTGGGCTTTTAAGTCATTTTCCCGAATAGAATTTATGTTTGGAAGAGCCTCTCACCCATATTACGTATAACATGCGACTAGAAGTCAATTCCTTGATTATCTTTTCACCAACTCTTTTCTTAATACTTTTTAATGATTCTCAGCAAATACAAAACTCATCTTCATTTCTTTGTTTTACTGTTTATTGGTCATTGATGGTGGGCGGTTTGCTTAAAACTCGATCATTATAAGTAGACAATGCAGCATGACATTATGGTCACCTTCAAAACAAACTTCCACATACCATTAATTGAATTCACACAAAATGTTGAGTTTCTTAGAGCAGGTGTCGATATACACTCTGACGTTGTTTCTTGGTGCTTCCTTCGTGTTCTTTACATGGTATAATTCGAAATCATCATCCACTTCATCCACCACCAAGAAACTGCCACCATCACCACCAAAACTGCCAGTCATCGGCAACCTCCACCAGCTAGGTGCAAGCGTCCACCACTCCTTTCTATCTCTGGCCAGACGTTATGGTGACTCGCTCATGCTCCTCCACATCGGCTCAGTCCCAAGCCTTGTGGTCTCATCAACAGAAGCAGCTCGCGAGATCATGAAAACTCATGATATAGCATTTGCAAGTAGGCCTAACACAAGAATGTTCAGAGCTATCTCTTACAATCTCAAGGAGATAACAGTCGCTCCTTATGGAGAATACTGGAGGCAAGCGAAAAGCATTCTAACGCTTCAGCTTCTAAGTAACAAAAAGGTTCAAACTTATAATGGATTGAGAGAAAAGGTAATTGCCGATTGCGTAGATAAGATAACCCAGTGTTTCTTATCTAACAAGCCGGCAGACTTGAGCGACTTGTTTAGCTCGCTTACAAACGACGTGACATGCATGGCGACGTTTGGGAGGACGTATAACGAAGGGGAGATTGGGAGGAAGTTCAAGAAGGTGTTGCAAGAGTTCTCGGAGGTGTTGGGTAGCTTTTATTTTGAGGACTCTATTCCTCAGCTTGCGGTGGTTGATCGTCTTAGAGGTCTCAGTGCTAAAGTTGATAGAGTCGCTGTAGATTTCGACGAGTTCCTACAAGGCGTGGTCGATGAGACCATAATAAAGGTACGCAATAACTCTGAAAAAATTTCTGAAGATGGTGTGGAAACCTTCATTGAAGGACTACTCAAGGTTCAGAAGGAAGATATTATCGGCATCACCATCGATGCAGATGTCATTAAAGCACTCCTCTTGGACGCATATGTCGCTGGAACAGATACATCATCTTCGGTACTTGAATGGGCGATGACTGAGCTTCTGTTACATCCGGATAACTTGAAGAAAGTCCAAGATGAGGTAAGAAGCATTCTTCGTGGAAAAGAAGAGATAACAGACGAAGATCTTGACAAGATGACTTATCTTAAAGCCGTGATCATGGAAACCACCCGCCTCCATCCTCCCCTTCCGATTCTACCTCCAAGAGTCGCACGACATGATGTTAATGTGATGGGGTATGATATTGCAGAAGGAACAAGGGTATACGTGAACGTTTATGCAATTATGAGGGATCCTAAAGTGTGGGAAAAAGCCGAAGTGTTTCTACCAGAGAGGTTCTTGGAGTCGTCTATTGATTTCGTAAGGCATAATTTCGAGTTGCTTACGTTTGGAGCTGGAAGAAGGGGTTGCCCTGGAAGGGTATTTGCCATGGCTATTAATGAGAAGGTGTTGGCTACTGTTTTATCAAGATTTGATTGGTCGTTGCCACAGGGTGTAAAACCGAAGGACGTAGATATGAATGAAACTTTTGGTCTCGCTAATCACAGAAAGGTTCCACTACTTGCTCTTGGAAAACCTGTTCCAATGCATGCTTGGTAAATGAAATATGATCTTTAATATAATAATATTCTACCAAAGAAACTTTCATACGTTTCTTTGTATTTGTTATAATATATGAAATTAATCATCCAATATTTTGCTTTTGGGATCAATTTAGGTGTAGGATTACGACCATGATCGGGTATAATATTGCCATGTTGGTCATGTGTAATGTGTTAGTGATGTTTCATTTTTGTCTCTTTTAAGAACAAGTTGATTCTCTTCTTTTATTTTTAAGTGAGAATGAATATATGGTTACTGAATTGTCCTTGACACAAAATAATAAGAAATAAGCAACATAGATGCATCTTTATAATTAAGACTAAGATATTAATTTATCTAATTCATGTAAAAGATCTGATTACAAAGAAACACATTACCAAATCAAAATTAAAGGAATATTTAATTAGAAATATTGACGATACAACTTACAAGTACTATAACAAATGGTTGTAACAATACCAAAATAAAAATCAAATTATAAAATTTGATCTTCAACATAGTTGCATTTTTTCCTTCTCAACAGTCAACAGTGACCCCACAATCCTAACCTTCATATGAAACTTCCTTCGCCGGTTCTTGCTTCTCAACAGTCAACAGTCAACAACAACGCCTTCAACCTCTCTATCCTTTTAATTTTATAATCAAACCCTCCTAGTTAAACCTATCTTAGCATAAATCTTGATATATATATATATATATATATATATATATATATATATATATATATATATATATATATATAATTTCTCTAACTTTTCGATGTTGAGGTTTACTGCTTTTTATTTTTTATTTATGATGATACAAGTGTTGGGTTAATCGGTTTTGGTATAGGAAAGTTGTCTTTTATTAATTCCCATTTTAGATTAGGAGTCAAAGTGTTTTATTTTATTGTTTTAGAAGTTTGAAAAGGTTTCAATTTCTTCTAATATAAAATAGGTGTCAAGGGTCATTAAATTTATTTTCAATTTAAGTACTTACGTTTTAATAAAAACTTTGTGTGCAAGTCAATAACTTCTTCACCTATTTTATTTTTTGTTTCGTTTCTCCTTTATACACTAGAAATTTTTCTAGTTTATTTTTTACAACAAGAAGCTATATGAACTCAAAGTGGTTGAATCAACACATGTTATACCAATGAAACCCTAAATATATAGGACAAATACCCACATGATGTTTGTCATTTTACATCATTATTTTAAATTATTTTAAAGCGTGACTCTTTCAAATGAGAGGTCATGAGTTCAAGTGTTATTATGAGACATAGATATTGTTTATGATTAGATTAGGAATAGGATATTTTGTGGTTTAAAAAAAAAAATTATATTTTTCATTTAATGTTACAAAATTTGGACGAATTATGACTGCTAGAGAGCATCCCATCACCTACCTATGGACTCGATGTGTGTGAACCGAGAAAACTGAGTAAACCTTTCACATAGTATTTGGTAATCATGTACGGTTTAGAAATGAGTATTGATCGGGTATATTTTTAGGGTTTCTGGTAGTTTGGATCGGATAATTTGGGTTTTTTCAGATTAAAAAAAAATATATTTGTCACTCAAATCGAATTGAATTCATGTAATCGAGTTTCGGTAATTCAAATAATAGTTCTCGTTTAGGTAGTTTGGCTATTATTCCAAAATAAATGTAACGAAGTAATATAACAAACATAAAGCTTATGTAGGGTTTTAGTTATATAATTCATAAATCATTATATAACATTCTTCTCTTTAAAGAATATAATTAAAACGAAAGTGATCATTAATTCTAAGACATAGTTTTTATTTACCCACTAAATTCATAAACCCTATGCTTATTTTTGTATACCATTGTGAACGGAAATCAATATTACATATTATATTGTGAACGGAAATCAATATTACATATTATATATATTAATAATAAGCTAAATAAAAAGTCTAAAATTATCGATAAAGACGTTATAACATTCGAACCATTTACTTTTCATAAGATAGCTGAAACCAAGCAGGCAAGCAAAACCAAGTTAATGCAATTTTACACGTGTAGGTGAATCTATTATTGGCATAGGTACACTAGCTACCAGGCGAATGTCCGCGCATTGCGTGGGATATAAAAAAATATTTTATATTAAAGTAACTAAATCATTGTTATTAACAATTAAATAATAATTTCATAAAAAATATAAAAATGATTTTAGTATTGTTATTATGTTGAACTATATTATAAGAGATAAGGTTGGAACTTGAAGTTGTTTTGCATATACAAAATTAGATGATTAAAATAGAAAAATAAAATTAATTTTAAAAATAAATAAATCGTTATTGTTATCTATTAAATAATAATTTAATATTAAAATTAAAACGTTTATATTAAATATTATCATTATATAGAAAATACGAGAGACATCTTTTTATCTATCTTAAATTTTATCATTATGTACAACATAGGATAACAGAGACAACTTTTTATCTTAAATAGTAAAAAAAAAAAGTTTTGTATCATAAATATTACCATAATTATGTAGAACATGTGATAATAATGACGTTTTTTGTAAGGTTAAAAACTTTAAATTGTTTTACATACATGGTTGTAAAACTTGGCTAACACAACCAAATATTCGGCATGTTACTTAAACTCGACCTCCAATGGAAGCGAGTTTGCCTAACTCAGCCAGAACACACTCGGATCCTTATTAAACTCGATCCAAATCTAAAAGAGATGGTCCAAAATCATTTTCGAAATTCTGAAATTTAATTGGTCACTTGTCGACAAAGACAATCTCACCAAAGAATACACTCAACGTATTATAAAGTTAGATGCAAGGAAGAACTCATGGCTTAGTCATTTTGAAATATTTCACAACCTTTCATATTTATAGAGGAGAATACATTCTCTTGTTTACTCTCACGATCAATGTGGGATAAAGACATTTTAATTAAACTCATTTCTTTATTTGCTAATAATTTCATTTTGTTAAATAAAATATTAAATAATAAAAATAAAACGTTATCCAGAAAATTTATTGTTCAATAGTTTCATTTTTCAGTAATCTCGTAAGTTGCTATAAAAAATTAAGTTTTTATTGAATAACTTTTTTAAAATCGTAAAATCATAAATTCAGTTAGGTACTTAATATAGAAAGTTTGTTTATATGTATTTTCATGATTCAAAATATCATTATAAAATGAATTTATTAATAAAATATAATTGAGTATATATTTTTTGTGCTTTTGAATCAAAGTGATTTTTTAAACAATTATAATTTTATGTTTAGGTAGATTTTTTTATATTTATATAACATTATGTAACTTATAATATTATTATAAAAAATTTAAATAATCATGGGAGTTTCAAATGTATGCGGTGAAAGGAAAATGTTTCATTTATCGGTCCAAATTCATCAAACTCGGACAGATTCAGCTTAATATACCAAATTACATAACGTTTTTTCTATTGAAACTCGGTTTGTATATATTTTGTGTTTTTAAATCAAATTTATTTTTCAAACAATTATAATTTTATGTTTAGGTAACTTATTAATAATATTATTAGAAATAATTTGAGAAATCATGTGAGTTTCAAATGTATGTGCGAAAAGGAAAATGCTTCTTTTATCGGTCCAAATTGATCAAACTCAGACCGATTCAACTCAATATACCAAACTACATAACGGTTTTTCAACTAAAACTTTGTTTGAACCTAAAAAAATCTTGTTCAAAACCATTTTCGGGATTCTAAAACTTATATGGACAGTTGCTAATAAAGACAATCTTACCAAAGAATACCCTCAACATCCTAAAAAGATAGGCATAAGAACGTTCTCATGGTTTGGTCCCTTTGAAACATTTCACATCCTTTCCTATTTATAGAAGAGAAAACGTTCTCTTGTTTACTCTTACCATGATGAAGACATTGTAATAAAACACACTTTCTTGTTAATAAAACATTATTCAATTTATTTAGTAAAACACATTTTCTCTTGTTTACCCTTTCTTTATTGTTCAATAATTTTATTTTTCTATAATCTCGTAAGTTGCTATCCAGAAAAGTAAGTTTTTATTGAATAATTTTTTGTTCAATTTAAAATCATAAATTCAGTTTGAATTAGGTACTTAATATAGAAAGTTTGTTTATATGTATTTTCAAGATTCAAAAGTTCATTATAAAAAGAATTCATTAATAAAATATAATTTGCATATATATTTCGTGCTTTTGATCAAATCGGATTTTCAAACAATTATAATTTTATATTTAGGTATATGTTTTTTTATATTTATATAATACTATGTAACTTTTTAAAAATATCATTGGAAATAATTTGAAAAATCATAGGAGTTTCAAATGTATGTATTGTAAGGAAAATGCTTCTTTTATGTTCTAAATAGATCAAACTCGGACCGATTCAACTAAATATACCAAACTACATATTTTTTTTCTAGTGAAACCCGGTTTGTATATATTTCGTGCTTTTGAATCAAAGTGATTTTACAAACAGTTATAATTTTAGGTTTAGGTAAATGCTTTTTTTATATTTATATAAAATTATGTAACTTATTTATAATAATATTAGAAATAATTTTAAAAATCATGTGAGTTTCAAATGTTTGTTGTGAAAGGAAAATGATTCATTTATCGGTCCAAATTGATCCAGCTCCGGTTCAACTCAATATACCCAATTACATAATTTTTTCTAACTGAAACACGGATTAAACCTGAAAAAATTCGGTTCAAAACCATTTTTAGAATTCTAAAAGTTAACTGGACACTTGCCAATATAGACAATCTCACCAAATAATACTTTTAAAATCCTACAAAGGTAGGCATGAGGAAGTTCTCATGGTTTGGTCCCTTTGAAACATTTCACAACCTTTCCTATTTATAGAAGAGGAAACATTCTCTTGTTTACTCTCACCATCGATGTGAGATAAAGACATTATAATAAAACATCATTTATTGTTTATAGAACATTATTTAACTTATTTATAATATTATTGTAAAGAAATTGAAAAGTCATG